CAGGTGTTTAGTACCTGGCTTTTAACCTGGATCTGAGTTGGAGAATAAATTGATTATGTCTCCATAGTTAGGACAACAGCCAGTAACATAATCTTTATGTGGGAGTTTGAACTCGGGACTCCCTGTTAACATTTGAAGCCAGTTTCTCCTACTTCTTCTAGGGTTTAGATAATAGGGCTGATGTCAAAAGTTGTGCTGTATGTTTCTGCAGTCACTTGGAAATAAGCCAGCTCATTAAGAGCATGGGTCATTATTTATTCGTTCATCCATTCATTTGTTAATGTGTTTGTTCATTTTACTCTTTAACCATTCAGCAAGTATTGATTGTCTGAAATGTCATTCATACCGTATGAGTTGGCGTATGATAGCATCCAAATGAAAATGTATATAAAGGGTTATTATTATTGGTTATGAGGGGGAGGGGAGAAGTGAGCAAAAAAAAAGACAATTTAAAAAAGTTCACCACATCAGTGATAAGACAAGTATATATAGTGTAATTCCGTATGAACTGTGAGAGTTCAGTGAACAGAATAGTTATCAAAATACCAATGATGGTTATCTCTGGCTAATGGAACTTTTATTTTTACTATTTATCTTCTCTAATGGATGACAGTTTTCAATACCTCCATGCACTGAACATTATAAAGCTGTCATTGTGGTGAAAAATAATTCATAGTGTGTCTGTTATGTGCGAGGAGTCAGTCTCTGGCTATATCAATGTACTAGATATTCACCCAAGTTCTTCCTTTTTTTTTGGAAGTCCCATTAGTAACTCTTCAAATGAAAATCTGTTTGAAGAGTAGTGAAAAGTGGACACTGTCAAATTCTGTAACAAGAATTCCATTAAAGTTCTCTTACCTGTAGGTTCAAGTGAAAGGCCTTTGGCAATGAGCTTGGCTCTTAGGTTTAGAGCTCCTTTGGTCTTGTGTCTTAGCTTAAACAGTAAGGGTAAGATGATACTTGTGAGCTCAACCTATCATTTCATAAGGGGGCTGGAGAAGGGTCTTGGAGGAGTCAGTGAAAATCAATTGCAATGATGGAAAACTCATCGAAGAAAAAATGTCCTAAATCCTGTGGGTTGAAGCCAGCCCCTCTGTACATAAAGGATCTCACCGTCTGTATTTATTGACACAGAACGTAGTTTTAATTACCCCGAAGGAATTTCTGGCATGTTTTGCCTAAGCCAGTCTTAAAATGTTTAATCAGTAGTTTCATGAAAACCAAGCCCACTGGCAATGGGGGCACCTGGGGGGCAGCTGGTCAAGGGTGGTGTATTGCAGAGTGGCTATTAGTGACAAAAAAAGTATGCTTTATCAGAGAGACAGAAACAGGGAGATGAGATGGCCTTGACTTTGAAAAGTTTGGCATGTCTTATGTCTGAGAAGCCTGGGTTTCCTTCCCAGTTGTTGACCATGATCTAAGCAACCTCCATAACCTCTATGTTTTGTATATTGAGGGTAAACTTTGGTAGGATGTTATAAGCCAGAGTTTGAGCAACTGATCAAGCCATCAGCTTTATTGCTTAACAACCAGTGACTTGAAAAAAAAAAAAAAAAGAATTTACCTTCCAAATATAGGCCCAGGGAAAATGTAGACTTTTTTGTGTTAATCACAAAATATTTTAAGAAAAGTGCTATAATAGGAAAAACAGGATGATGGTATCACATCATAAAGCCATCTTAATCTATCAGATAACTTGAGGGGAAGCCATAGCCCAAGGTGAATATGAAGGCACCAAAGACAGTTTCCTTGATTTTTATCTCTTTGTTCTTGAATCCCTTAGTTGAATCCTCTCAATGAGATGTAAAAGCAATCAATAGTACTAAATACTGTCTTTTTTTCATCTCTCTAGGTTTAACTCCAGATGAAATTTCTCTTTTTCTCTCTACATAAAAAATGCCCTTTTCCCTGTCTCTTGTCACAGCTGTCCCAACCAATCTGCATATAGGCTAATTATTACTTTTTTATGTAGACAGCGAAGGTGAATATCTTGGCACCTTGAAACCTGAATAGGAATCTAAAGGTGTCTTTGGCACAATATATTGAGCCCCCACTTGTGGAGCTACCAAGAGTGTCTCTGTCCTATTTAGTGACATAATGGCTTGCTGATAATCCTTTTTGCTTGCACAGAAGGGTTTCTCAGCCTGTTTCATAGGAACAGTCTCTGAATGCCAAGGGAATTGCCAAGCTTATAGAGAAGTGAGGCCATTGGAAATGAGTCCCTTTTAACCATCAAAACAACTGGGCAGATAGTTGCTTGGATGTTCTTGGTGTACCAAGACTAATCATCAGTTTTAAACAGTCTCCTTCCCTCTTACCTTACAAATTAGTCTTTCAGTAAACCAACTTGGCTAACCAGGTTGTTATGTCAGTGGCCAAATTTTAGGCAAGGAAGGAGTTACTGAAATAATAACCCCCTCTTATATTTCTGATGGGATTTTATATTTCTGCAAAGTATTCTCTCAACTCTTGCCTATGAGGCATAAATTTGGAGAACAGGTTTTATTTTGTTTCATCTTCTCAGTGAGAAAACAGACCCAGTGGAGTTCATCAACTTGTCCATGATCACATGGCTGGTTTGTAGTGAAGACCTGACTGAGGTCCAGAGATTCTGATTCCGAAAACAGAGCTCTTTTCCATGAGATTAGAATACTTAAATAAATCAAGTTTCATTGAATTCTTAAGTAGATGAAATCTTGCAATTTGGGGAAAGGTGTTCATTTTGCAAGACATTAATTAGCCACCTCCATCCTTAGCATGACGTTGTTTGGGTAGAGCAATGTGGCATATTACCCTTTGATTGTTGGTTTTGGTTGTGGGATTTCTCATTCCTCAGGTTATTTATTGTTACTATTGCCACATGGGCAGGTTTCAGCCACGCTCCTGGCCAGTGGTGCAAGCCTCAAAGAGGTAGAGTTCGGTGATTATAAAGACGTGGAGCAGTCAGTGGATTTCGTTCTATTTCAAGACTGAATACAGCATTCAAATATCTAACTCACAAATAGCTGCCATATGGGACAAGTAAGAAAATAGGTAAGAAAGACAATGAATTCATCACTACTGACACCATACTTATCCCCTGGAAACATAATCCAAGGATAGGGAAGTTAGATTTACTGAGTGGTCTTTACATGCTAAGTACCTATTTTGCTTCCTTTACACTTAATTCTGTGAGTAGTGTATTCTTAATTAAGAAGCTGGGCTCAATAGTTAAATCCTCTAACTATAAGTACCCATATGTAAAATCATGACATGAACATGGGCAAGCTCCACGAGATGGTAAGGGACAGGGGAGCCTGGGGTGCTGCCGTCCAGGGGGTTGCAAAGAGTCGAACATGACTTGGTGACTAAACAACAACAACGCAATCATGACACTAAGAGGAACCACCTTCTAAGGCTGTTGTAAGGATCAAGTGAGAGAGTGTTTGTACAATGGTTAGCTCAGTACCTGACCTAGATTGAATATTCATTAAATGGTTGCTTGGTTGTCTTTAGTATTTTTAGAAGCCTTAAATGATCCTAAGTGTTACTTGCTCTGGGCCAAACATTCTTTCTGCCCTCCAAGTCCCTATAGTTCAGAATCATACTAAAAAGTATACTCAAAGGATTAAGAGCCCTGACTCTGAAAAACACTGAGTTTGTCTCTTGACTCCATCCCTCACTAGTTCTATGACCTTGGGCAAGTTATTGAACCCCTCTCAGCCCAGGTGTCTCCTCCTTAGAATGAGGCTAACCATGCTTAACTTCTTAAGGTTGCTGTCAGTATTAAATATGTATTACAGTGTATATAATGTGCTCAGGACAGTGCCAAATATGTAGCATGTAATAAAGATGAAATCATGTTAGGTTATCTTTTCACTAGTATTACTTCAGTTACCTAACTGTCCTAGAGCAAAATCATTGCTGTCAAATGACGGTTGTTTTGATTACAAAACAGAAACAGGTTAATAACCCAACCTTAACCTTTGATCTAGTATCAGTTCTGGCTAGCGGTGATTGGTCTCTTTTAAATAATAAATATAAACTCATAAAATAATAAATGGAATCTTATGAGAGACTTAGCCAACTGCTCATCTCTTCTAATTATGAGATAAAATATTAAGAAATGAAAACCCATTATCTACTCTAGACACCATCAATAGGATAGTTTTTAAAGGTAATAGCTTTGAGATACTAAAAAATTAATAATAGATTAATTATAAACCTCTATCTATATTAGTGGCACCTTGAAGTTTTCTATTAAGACTTAATTTTGTTATTTTTGAAAAAAATCTTGCTTCTTTTAGTACTTCTTATTTTTGCCTGATTCATAGATTCTGCTAGAGCATAATCTTATACCTCTGAACACTGCAAGAGAAAGGGAGCCTCTTCTTATCAGTGAGATGACTTCTGTTTCTGAATGCGTCCAATTGCTTACAAGTTGTTCTGTGTATCAGAGTGTTCTCTCTTTTTCACCATTGCTCCTAGCCCTACAATATGAAACCTTACCTCAAAAGCTTAGTCTGGGCACATGATCCCTCTTTAACTATGTGAAGATAGCTCTCCTAACCACAAACTTCCTCAAAACTCCCCAGATGCCACATGACTGTTGTTTTCTACTCTTATGTTAGTAGCATCACTTGACGTGTTGCTTAAACACAAATTGCTGGGCTCCCCCCAGAGTTTCTAGTGTAATAGGTCTGGGATGGGGCCTGAACATTTGCTTTCTAAGGATTTCCCAGGAGGTGCTGTTGCTAGTGGTCACAGCAACATTTTGAGAACCACTCCTTCCCCAAACCCAAAGGCAGCGCACTTCCTGTTAGGGAGGCTGAAGCCCAGAGAGGTTTTGTAGTGTTGGTGGTGTCCCCTCAATAGCCTGGATTTTGATCGCCCAGGAGCAACCTCACAGAAAGACACTAGCAGGGGGTCCTGGGGAGTCTGTAATGCACCTGTGTATGTTAACAAACGTTGTCGCTTCACTGCCTCCTGGAGTCTGGATCTGAACCCCGTGTTTGTCACAGGACCCAAGGGAGAACCCAAGACAGAGAATAGTGGCACAATAATGAAGCATGAATTATCCAGATGAAATCACCTATGGAAACAAAGGTATTAGTATTATTGTTTATACCTACTATTCTTAATAAAACAGCAGTATGGAAGTGTCAAACAGTTCCCATTGCTTAAAAGTTGTGCTGTGGGACCCAAATCTGTTAATTCACATTTGGAAAGCAAAGTGTAGATAGGAAGCATCGTTGAACCTACTGTTTTGTAATAGAACTAAGAATGTGTTTTGATGAGATGTGTTAGTTTCTGGCAAAGACAAATAATTAGCCAAGAAATGACCAGAAAGGGATTAGGTAAGATCAGAATAGACCCTGCTTTAGAGACGCTAGAGATGTATGATGAGTAGGCTAGTGAACCAGACGAAGAGAAGAGCTGGGGTCGGCAGGCAAAGAAAGACAATGTGGGCTTTTTAATTTGTGCATGATGAAGAATGAAGCATCTTACTAAATGGGTAATTTTCAGTTAGAAAGCAGATCTAGAAATCACTATGTGGGAAAGACAGTATCTTCCAACCTGTATTAAATATTTGGAATCCCTTTTATTATAACCCCTAAATAGTCCCACCTGATTTGGAGGACATAGCATGAGGACTTTTGCTGGCTTGTTATTTGTTTCTTGAAACTGTTCAGGGAGACCCTTTAGCTTGACATGTGGCTGCATTTTGGGAGCCCTAGAAAATAAAATTTAGTACAAAAGAACTATGTATTTTTATTTAAGGAAAAAAGAATCATCAGAGATTTTCCCTTGAAGTGGAGTTTGTAACAGATGTAGATAAGAACTCTGAGACAAAGTGAAGAGTGAGACAGAAGAGTCCCTTTTGAGAAAAAGAATGGGGAAAGAAGAGTTTCCAAATAAATATTTGTTATAGGGAAATGAAACAGAAAAGGTGGTCAATGACTTAGCAGGAGAAGAAAGCAAATTGTATATTTTTGTGTATGTATATATGTTTATGCATATTCTCCAGTCTATAAATAAGGATGTGTCAGGCATTGGTGTCCCAAGGAAATTATACAACCTTAGCTTTATACATTGATATAGACTCCATACAAGTTAAATTTCTTAATGTGTTTTCTTAAGACAATAAGAGAGCAGGGTTTGTTTTTAAATAATACCTTGGGGGTATTTGTAATATGAGGTAGAGTTCAGCTGTTCCATTGCTCTAGAAAAACTTACTTTTCTGTCTGACTTATTTTAATAACAGGTATATTTCAGTATATAGGGGCCATATTTCATTGTAATTTCAGTGTACATTTTTATCATTCCTACCAACCAAATCACTTTTTCAGTGCATTCTAATACAGTATTGATTGGAGGGAGGGCTGAGTTTTATTTGGTTTTCCCTCAGTAATAGTACTTTAATGAGATAAGATTAGATGAACTTTGAATAGATTTCCCCGAAGCTTCCAACTTTTATGCCTTCCTTACCTCCTCTGAGAGGGAGGGAGAGGGAAGGACTGAAGTATTTGGTTGTTTGGTCATGTTTTTGGGTCTGTATCATGTTAGACTCAAAATTTCCAAGAGCACTAAAACTGCAAGTGAGAAAGCCATGGTTCAGAGTGAAAAGATTAAGTGCTTGTTTGGAGGGAAAATAGCAAGGATGAATGCTGGCTTTTCACCATATCTCATCAAGTCCACATGTTGCTGAAAAGCACTTTCAAAGTAAGAAGACTGTGCCCTTTCAAAATGCTAAGGGGTTAAGATTCGTAAATAAGCATAGTGAAAGTGAAGTCGCTCAGTCATGTCCAACTCTTTGCGACCCCACGGACTGACTATAGCCTACCAGGCTCCTCCATCCATGGGATTTTCCAGGCAAGAATACTGGACTGGGTTGCCATTTCCTTCTCCAGGAGATCTTCCCATCCCAGGGATTGAACCCAGGTCTTGCACATTGTAGGCAAATGCTTTACTGTCTGAGCCACCAGCCAAATTAAATAAGCATAGGGTATGAAATGAATGTGTATGTGTATATTATCATAATGTAAGTGCCATGCAAGGCATTATTTTCACAAGTTAAGCTACTTTCTTCAGAAATGGACTCTGTTAGAATTTGCTTAAGATTGCCTTGAGTTTTCAATGACAGGTTAAAATTAAGTAATAGCAGTATAGGGCATGAAGTCATGTGTTGCAATCTTTGATTGCCTAAATTGTGCTCCAAAGAGAAATAAGACTTTAAGATGTAGCAGCAGATTGGCATGAAGGGAGTCTGCCATTCATCCCTTCCTTTACTCAGCATTTACTGAGCATTTACTATGTGTTGTGCTTTGTACTGGGGATGCAGAAGTATAGTAGATACACCTAGACTCTTCTGTTAAAGGAACTCATGTCCTCATGGGGGACACAGATAGGACAACAGGCAGTTATGTAGTCTGAGAAGTTCCGTGATGGGGGAAGATGAGGCACTGTGAGATGGTGGAGGAGGGCTCTTGAAGAAGGAGATGGCTAAACTGGGACCTGATGGATGAGGAGGAGGAAGGTGAAGGGAAGAGGGATGAAGTGCTCCAGGTAGGGATGATGGTATGGGTCAGAAGATAAATGAGTTAGTCCTACCTGACTTAGTGGTTTGTTGACTTCAGAAAAAAGTCCATCTTGGAGATTTAGTTTCCTTATCTTCCTTGGGGGGGGATGGTGGGGGGAGGGGTTAGGTGGTAGTGATAATGGTTCTGGCAAAGATGGTGGCCCTGAATGGTAAGGGGAGGAAAAAAGAGGTAAACAATAGCCATTCACATTTCCTGAGCACTTATTAGGTGCCATGTTTAAGCATACTAAAGAATTTCTATACATTAGTTACCAGCTTGAGTTTTATAATCTCTAGATGAGGTCAGTTCAGTTCAGTTCAGTTGCTCAGTTGTGTCCGACTCTTTGCGACCCCATGAATCACAGCACTCCAGGCCTCCCTGTCCACCACCAACTCCCGGAGTTTACTCAAACTCATGCTCATCAAGTCGGTGATGCCATCCAGCCATCTCATCCTCTGTCATCCCCTTCTCCTCCTGCCCCCAATCCCTCCCAGCATCAGGGTCTTTTTCAGTGAGTCAATTCTTCGCATGAGGTGGCCGAAGTATTGGAGTTTCAGCTTCAGCATCAGTCCTTCCAATGAACATCCAGGACTGATCTCCTTTGGGATGGACTGGTTGGATCTCCTTTCAGTCCAAGGGACTCTCAAGAGTCTTCTCCAACACCATAGTTCAAAAGTATCAATTTTTCGGTGCTCAGCTTTCCTGGTAGACGTCCTTATTATCTCTGTTTTACAGATGAGAAAAGTGAAGTTTAGAAAGGCGATGTGACTTGCTGACGTTCATCCTGCTAGTAAGTGGAAAAGCCAAGATTTGAAAACAGAAGTTGACTCTAGAGTCTGCATTTTCTAATATTACTCTGTTGTTCATAACCTAACTTTTTCACAGGGATGATATAGAACTGAGTGGGGCAGTTTATTTGAGAGAGATTTTTAAACAGCATGGAACTCTGTGCTGTCATTGTACATGTTGAGCTGAACGTGAGCCCTGAGCTTGGTAGCTAACCTAGAATAAAAAGTAAAAATGGTTTTAGCCATATGTGGGCTTCTGTTACTTGTCTTGTTAGCAACCCGTTTTAATTCCATGGATTCAGCACATTAGTAGTCAAAAGTGGCATTCCCTAGGGGATATTTTTTTTGAAGCAACCAAACATTAGATGAGCTGGACCATGGATTTACTCCCAGATGACAATTGTTATGTTAGAAAGTCCTCAAACATTTCTGAGATCGTTAATTTCTGTTAATCACTAATGTGCCTCTATGACTGCTTGGCACAAAGTGAAATGGAGGCTTGGCAGTTCTCCAGTTCTTTTCAAGGTCTTGGCTTCTCATAGGGATGATTCAGAGCCCCAGATGCATTCTAAAAAAAAAAAAATCTCTGGGTTACCTGGTTGACATACACACACACACACACACACACACACACACACACACACACACATATTTAAAGTCACTTGGTTGTGTCTGATTCTTTGTGACCCCATGAACTACACAATCCATGGAATTCTCCAGACCAGAATACTAGAATACTGGGGTGGGTAGCCTTTCCCTTCTCCAGGGGATCTTCACAACCTAGGGATCGAACCCAGGTCTCCCACATTGTAGACAGATTCTTTACCAGCCGAGCCACCAGGGAAACCCACATATATATACGAGAATATGTGTATAAACATATACACACATATTCTCATATTCATATGAGAATATATATATATATATGTATTCTCAACCTTGCCTCTACTTTTTTGCCAGATAGACTCTCTTCCTGTCACTTCAGTGTCCGACAGTCTTGTCTGCACTCTCATCAGCCGTTGTGTTGGTGAACTTAGGACTGTCTGCACTAGTGACAGACAAACAGGCCCCTGTTGCTGGCCACTGCATCAGCCACCATTGGGAATAATTGAGAAAGTTCAGAGAGAGGCAGTTGTAAGCTCTGTAAGCACAGAGAGCATGCCGCCACTCTAAAGGGAATGGCCTGTTGTAATCTACACTAGGGAGATCTGCAGTGAACTAAAATAATGAATTCTTCTGCATCATAGTTGAATTCCAGAGGCTAATTATTAGTTTAAGTCCTGCTTGAGGCCCCAATAGTGGTGGGGGTGGGATTCCTTTTGGAAGCTTGATTGAGCTAATGTGAAAGGCATGGCTATAATTCAGATATACTAGTGAAATGCAAACAGTTTCCTGTATTAATGGTCACTAATGACCTGTAATCAAGCTATGATTTGTTAGGTTAAAGACAAAGATGCGGTTAGTTTATTTTGTTCAGGGGTATAAATGGAAGAATTTATCAATCTGCTGATTGTTCTTCTCTATTGGAGACAGTGGACAGGCACATAGTCTGGAGCTGTGGGGCTCGGGGTGCCACTGTCTGTCACTGAGATTCTCCCAGCTCCAGCCCCTCTTGGGTCTACCATCTTTGTCAAATGGGATGAAGAGAGTACTCTTCTGGTGCCCTCTGTGACTTTTCCTCTTGCTAAGCAAGCCCCTGCAGTAGTAATTTTTCTCTTTTTTGCTCTGCTCTGGTCCC